TTTCATCAATTCGAATTAAGGAGAAAATTTTACCGTATTGTGTTATTGCGCTTTATCCTATTAAATTACCAACAATAACATTAAAATATTCTTTGATCATATTAATTAATTTGTCAACTAATAATAATGCTATTATTTTCTATATCAGCTATTTTAAAATTGATTAGGACCTTATTTCCTTTTTCTTAACCACCTTACCTTAACTAAAGGGTTAAGCCAAATTCAAATTTCAAGAATTACCCTAAAAAAATTAAGAAAAATGTGCCAGTGTTAATAGTTCTGTTAGTGATTAAAATAATGAAAACATTTATGAAACAACTAATATTAACTTTAGTAAATGCGATTTTGTGTAAACTAAGTTTCATAAAAGGGCGACGCGCGATATTGTATATTCATTTTGAAAACGAAAGCAAACAAACTGAAATAATTTTCTCTTTCGCTGTGGGGTAAAACCTTGTACTTTACTCAGTGCAGATATACTTACCTAAATTTAATAATGTTGATTTTTCTTTGAACTCATTAAACATAATATTCGTAAACATGTACTATTATTTTAGCTAAACAATTCATACCTTATTTTTTGCTTTCATAACATTTTGAAATTATGCACTGTTAAGGCTGAGTATTTCTTAAATTATTCGCGTTTTAATATGGATGTGGAGTCTAAATTATTTTAAATGAATTAATATTAAAGTATCAAAATATAAAGTTAAATATTATAGGCTTTAATCTTAAATAAATTGACATGACAGTATCAGAGCATGGTTGCTCTGATACTTTAATGTTAATTTATTTAACATTAAAGCCTGTAATGTTAACTCTAGTTGCAATTTTTTCTTTAAAATTGCATTTTAATTTTAAAGACAGATTTTTCTAACATTTCCTTATTTGATATTTGCAACGCTTTCAAAGATTTGGAAAATTATTATATAATAATTACACATTTTAGTCTTTTGAAACTTACTTAAGAATAAACAATAAATACAATAGACGAAAAGAAAAAGAATTCAAGGCATGGAGAATTTTTGAGAACTGATGCACTGAAATAGAGTAAATATACTAAATGAATCTTAAATTTACCATTATTAATAGATTTAAACCATTTTAGATAAATTTTAATTGCATTGAAGCATATTTTTTTAATCACCTTCTCTTAATCACTTGCAAACAAATTAGAGTTCTTAAGGTTAGCAGCATGAAATGTCCTTACAGTTTGCATAATTTATTGACTAGAAAATCACTCAGGAATAAATTAAGAGGCTAAATACTAGCCCACTGATAATGTATAGCTCAGTATAATACAGCGCAGGTAGTCTATTGATATCAATAGATGCCGAAGACCCAAAACACCAGACCGGTAAAGTGTTGATGTGAAACTCTTTGGAAGTTGTAGAGATGTGTGCTCTCTTACAATGAATTAAAAACCAGCAACACAGCAGCTTGCCACAGGACACCTCAACTCAAGACGGTTTCCTTTATCTAATTCTGTAGCACGTGGTCGCCAGAAGATTAAACGACATTTCATATCCCAATTTTTAGTACTGATTTCTTCACTTTTGTGTGTTTCATTAACTCTTGTGTGATCTTGTAATTGTGACCTTCTTTTTTGAAAATACCATCTTTGCAGCAACACTGTTAACTTATTAATTACGAATAACTGCATAGATGTAATGATGTTTAGATACTTATAATACAGTAATTTAAATGAAGTGTATTACGAATAACTGCATAAACGTAATGTATTGTAGATACTTATAATACAGTAATTTAAATGAAATTTTTCTAACGATTTCTCTTGAATATCAATCATCATATTTGTAATAAGTGTCATGAATAACAAATGATGCTCAGATGTTCTAAACGAAGAACTGAAAAACGGCTTTGTTCTTCAACCCTCTTATATTTAATTAATAGAATTTTTTACAGTGAATTAAAAATAAAGACTGGAAGATTTACATTTTTCATATGTTTAATATACAAAATTTCAGTACAAAAATATTTTGAATTTTATATTAATAATTTAATAAATGATTGAATTGCAATTTTTTAATGTAATTGACTTCTTTACATATGTTTCTCGTGTTTCATGAGTAATAAATGCTTCAAAATGAGGGTAACTTAATTTTTATTAATTTTAGTATTAAAATAATTACATCTTTTATTTAATTTTTACATTAAATTTTAATACTGAAAGGACTGCGTCATGGATATTCTAATTGTACCCAAGATTACAATTTCTGTAATAAATATTTTTAAAACATTAAATAATTTAAAATAACTGTTAATAATTATTAATTCAAGGAATACATTTTTGTTCTAAATACGTAGATCTTCTTTCCTTAACGTTAGACTGAAATGTGAAATTCAGAGTTAAAGCATTCCTTTTCTTAAGATATTAAATATATCACGATGAATAGATAATTCTATAATGTAAACCACACAACTATGAAAATTTACAACTATGTAACAAACTGTAAAACTGTACAAACATATGGGCGATACAAATTACTAAAATCAATAAGTAATAGAAAATTATGTATACCTTTCGTATGAGGAAAACCTTGAATCTAACGACATTACATTAAAAACTATTGAAAATGATTTTGCTTCACGCAAGAAACTGCAATAATTTTGTGCAGCTGCTGAAGCAAGTTTCATTGAGGAATTTTGTTTGAATCTTTAATTTTGTTTTAAAAAATAATAGGAAAATATAAGAAATTTAAGTAAACCCATAAATATGCTTTGAAGAATTTCGAAAGTAGTTACATGAAATGATATTTGAGAAATATCAAATTCAAGAATTCGTATGAGCTTTCACTTAAACTTTCAAATGCTTAGAATTACAGCATTACTTTATGGCTAATTATATTTCAAGATCCAAACGGAGCGATTAGATAAATTTTTAATATGATTCCTCAAATGTTCATTCCATAATAAAGTGACTTTCAAGAGTATATTTGTGCATTATTTATTATACTTTTACAATAAACTTTAATTTCAGAAGTCAGTAAGTGAATTATAGGCACATCAGCTTTGAAATTCATTGAAGATTTATACAGAGAATAATTATCCAATGTAAAATACATTTTTCCTATTTTTAAACACCCATCTATTATATCCAACTTGGCTAAACCTCGAAACTTTGGTAGTTCCCCTTGGCTTGGGTACCGAGGATTTTGTGGTCTTCTTCGTGCATAACGTGCTTAAGAGATAGTTTTCTCCAAACGATTTCTCCAAGACATCTCTTCTGAAGTAGATAGTTCTCTCATGCTATAATCAGTTATTTTGATCCTTCATCATTACCTCATGATAAAGGTTCCGATTTCTCAACTTCGTAATCAACCACAATATTACAATGCATACAAAATAAAACTTCAAAAAGCATAGAATCATAATTTTTATTCGTTGCTGTATTCATTGTGCCCATTTAAAATCTTGATGAATTCAGACTATTTCTGGACCTTTCCTTGGCTTTCTAATATAAGAAACGAATTTCTTTCGGCAGATCTTCGCAGGGTAAACTCCAAAATGGCCTCAGGGCAGAGGTTATCATAGGAGCAAAAACAGGCAATCTTTATATCTTGGCAAAACCAAGTAAGAAATGTGACTTAAAATATCTGCTCATCTTGCCCCAAATCTGAACGCTTATATAGAGCATATATCTGAGTTTTGCTTCATTCGAAAAGTGAATTCATTAGATTTTAGTCGGAAATTCAAGTAGCTGCTTAATGTACAAAGATGATTTGGTTAAAATCTAGATCCAGAAAATTTTTACTCTGCTGATATTTATGATTGCATTTCATGTACATATAAATTTTAAGAGGATATTCTTCTTAAAATTGTGGCTGATAGTTCTTTCAAAATTCTCTGCCTTTGACTGATCTAGCAAGCTGCATACAGTGTTAATGACTTTCCTATGTGTTACACGAATGAGAATCAGTCTGCCTTAGAATATCTTCTATGTAGGTTGCCTTCCTAATGCAGATGACATCACTTGTTTTTCGATAATGTATTAAAAATTACTTTCAAAACTTTATTAACTTTGAACGGAGCCATAAACAACTGCAAGAGCTTTTTCCAATGTACAGCTTCTAACGTTCTTCAAAAGCCGTTTCACATAGAAAAGAGTTTTTATGTGTCAAAATGTTTGATGCGGTCTGCTTATAAACTGTAACTGAGTGTAGAACATGTTAACAAAATACGGTATGTTTATAAGGTAGAAAGCATACATCAACAAAACTTATAATTTAAAAAGAAAAATTGATGACTTTGCTAGCTTCTACTATATATTTGTCTAACTAAACGTTTACTTAAGCATCCATTTAGAGCTAATAGCAGTTATGTTTCAATCAGTAAGGTTTCATATATCATTTAATATGTCCGGAACTTATCAGTGTGCGAGGTACTGCTGTAATTCTAAACATTTTTCAAGATTCTAAAGCTTTTCTAAACATTATGTCCAAAGATATTTTGTTCTAAATTTAATATTAAGAAAGAAATATTTCTGACATAACAGTGTAGGGTTTATATTTATTTTAACTAACATTTATTTTAAGTTTAAACTATCTTTCCTGTCAAGCCTTATTTTCCCCTGGAACTGCCAATGCCAGAGTATGTAAATTTTAGTAGAAAGCGCAAGGATTCAAATTATCAGCGGAAGTATTCTGAGTTAAATAGAAAGGAAACGAGTTCGAAGGTGTGCTTTCTTGCTTCACGAGTGTGGAAGTGGCTAGTTAGAAATTGAAGAACCACGCGTTTCGGCCTGTGTGCTTGCCTCGGCAAATTGTTAATCTTTCAACGTAATATTCAGAGTTTGCTGAATTATCAGCGGTATTTTAGAAAGCGCGGTGAGGTTAGTTTACGTTTAGAGAGCCTCGTAGTTAGTTACTTGTTAGTATCTCTTTTTAGTTTCTTATTTTTTATTTTACCGCCGGGTCGGCGTAGTTTGTGGAGCGTCAAGAGCACGCATTTGTAATTTCTAAAGTTGAAAAAAAGGGACTTAAAAACCCTTCTCAAGACTCTGTCTAATTTCCAGTTTTCAGCAGTCACCACTTTGTTGCGTGCAGGTTGGAAGCGCGCAACTTTACAACAGGATAAATAGTTTTTTTATGAATATCATGGAAATAGCTATGACCAAATATATAATTTAGTTTGAATCATCATTAACTGACTCTTTAGAACTGCAGTGTCATATAATCAAATGGAAGTGAAACATGCCAAAATAAAACTTTAAATCAGAAAAAGTACAACCACCCAGACGGTATAGTGGTTAGGGAAGCCTAGTGCGGTAACGAAGGCCCCGAATTCGAATCTCGGAGAAATCATGGATGTTTGTAAATGTATAGTGTCTTTGCGGCATGGGCGCACCCTAAATATATAGCGAGCCGAAAGTCCTCTCGCGTGGTTTGATGGTAGGGAAGAAGAGTGGTAAACGGCATGGAGGTGTCATGGACAAGACGACAACTATAAGAAAAAATACAGCCTTCATTTTAAATCCAAGTTTTAACGTTAGGCCAAAAAATTAATTTTATTTCTTTATACTTGTAATATGCATTATAAAGCCAAGTTTACACTAAAACTAATTAAGTTTTAAAATATTACAAATTTTTGCAGTTTCTAATAATACATTTCTTTACTTTGTGCTTTTGCTTTCTTTAATTAACAGTTTGTGAAAAAAAAAAGATTTTAAATTTCGGATGAATTGTTAAGCATGAAGTAATTGAATAAATTAAGATATTGATAATGAATCTGAGTTTAAACGAGATTTAAAGCTAAAAATAAAAAAAATAATTGAATATTTTACAATTTCGAGTATTAAAAATGTATTTTCTAATTTTCAGTATACTAAGAAATATTTATGTATTTCCATTTAGCTGCATTATTTTAAAATGTTTCGTAAGACAGCCAGCGCTTTTGCTGTCAACAGTACTGACAATTAAAATACATCATTCCAAAATAAATTCAGACGTCAATGAAGCTGCAAAGGATATGGCACGATATAGATTTTTTTGCTTGTTACGCTCAGCTTGCAGATGAGCCTAAATTCAAAATCAAATAATAGTTTAAATAATGCTTGTTTATGATTAAAATAGTGTACACAAACTTTTTGAAAACATATTTCTCTGACGTTTAGTAATATTAATATCCGTTATAAAATAGTTAATTATAATTACTCCAAACACTTTAGGAGCAAAGTTTGCAGATAGTTTAGAAATGGCCTTTGAACGATCTATTTATATATTAATTTTTTCTTTAAATTGCAATTTTTAGAAATAAAACACGTAATTTTAAGTGGCGACCACGTGCAAACACACAAGAGACGCTCAGGAAAAATGAAAACGTAAAAAATATATCACACCATTCGTCCCTTTCGTCACACTTTCGATTTGTTCAAATTTTCAAAGTTCGACCGCCGACTGTTCCCGTTGCTGACCATTTTGCTGACCAGCTCATCACCACCTCCTGTCGCTCGCCTCTGATTGGCTGAGACAGTCTTATTAGGAGAAGGTGAAGAATCGAATATGTCCGATTGATCCTGGTCCGATTTACAACGAGCTAGGGCAGCGGAGGTACCAACATCTTTCTGGGGTCGTGACCCCACCGACATGTCATCCGATACTCGTAGAGAAGGTGGAGTCGGGGATAAAGATTCAGAGCCGCAAGAGGAGCTGTCACTCATCTCGTTGGTGGAGCGGCGACTTATGCGAGGAGAAGCGTTGGGTCGGCGGCTCAAAATCTGAGCCTGAATGTGCTCACAGATGCGTTTGAATCTTCGCAGGGGACCTGAAAGATCAAGAAGAAGATATTTAGCTATGCTGTATTAACAGTTATTTTATAAAGGTGAGATTAAATGTAACTAATTATTGCTTATTTCCCAATTAGCAGACACTTCGAAATTTTTAGATTTTAGAAGGAAGTATTGTATTTTTTATTTTTAAAAAGATAAGTTTTCTTCGTTAAGAAAGCAAAGCACCTCTTCAGAAGGATTTCTTTTCGAAAAGGAATAATTTTAATTATAGTTTGGCATATGAGTATCTTCTTAAATAATAATATAATTGATTCTTATCCCATAATGCATTTCTCTTCTAAAACACAAAGAAAGTTTAAAAGGCCTTAGGCAAGCTTTAAGTAAAGAACACAGAGAGATAGTTTCAGGTTATTAGATATACGTTTACAGTTTCATAGAAAGTGCTTATATCTGTTCATTCTACCCTCAGCAATGAGTAGATGGATTCGGTTTCACACAATTTGTGGTGAAAACGAGGAAATGCTTGATGAAGAAGTATGCAACTTTTGGGAACCATTCACGATATAATATCATCGACGTTCATCCGGTTCTACCCACAACACTTTAAACGACATATCATCTATTTAAGTAGTACCACAACCATGGAACCTACTCTTAATATATTAACGACTCGCATGGTTGCGCTGTCTAGTACAATGTTTGGCAAACAACACCCTCTACCAAATGTAATAAGTAACGGAAGACGGGGACACTAATACTTTGCCGCCATGTTGGACAATTAGACAGCTGGAGTACGCTGTGGTTTGGCAAAGAATGCAAAATAGTAATAGTGGGAGTGATATCAATAAATGCCGGTATGGCTTCTGCAGGGCGGACATCATACTGCAAAGGTTTGTTCCCGGCCAGTTGTCCTCCTTAGCAGTGCAAAAGTAAAAAAAGTGCAAGTGATGTTAAAATAAAAGTATAAAAATGGTATATTGCTATGAGAATGTACTGCAAAAAGAAGATAAATTAAGTGACATTACACAGAACCAGACCGTGTACTATTAGGACATTTAGGATAGCCTTGATTTTTGTGACGAGTGTCTTTTGCTTGATTATATAGCGTTGATACGGAATTCTGTTATCTGTACCGTCGAGAAACCTGAGATGCTGACTGGATGTCAGTGGATAGCTCCTCAAGAGATTCACTGCTACCGCAGATGCACTTGTCCATATTGCTTAAAGCATCTTTTATGAAAATAGATTAGAAATGAGCCATGACCTGTAATATAACGTGTTAGCTGAGCAGTTGAATGTACATCTTTCATCGCTGATTGGGAATGAATAATTAGGTGCGATGGCCATGCGTTGTATGGTCCCATTCGTCTTACTACTCGTCACACCGAGTTATACTAAAAGAGTACTTTTTTAATCCTAAAATCGACAAATTTACGGATAAGAAAAGTAAATAACAGAAAACTTTCCAGTTGGATGTCTTTACAAATTATTTAGCGTTAGGCGTCTGTATACTGTTATTAAATTATCCTGAGATTAAACTCATACTTTACATTTGAATGGTAAGTTGTAATTTATATCAGCTTGGTTTATTATAATATATCCAGACTCGCAATATATTTCTGTTACGCTCAGATTATAACCGAAGCCGTAATATATTACAATAAGTACTTGTTTGTTGCAAAAGCTTGTATTTTTACAGTAGATAGATACTGTTTCAGCCTTTTGTGCCAGTAGCGAAACTCTGGAAAGTGTTTCTGAATTATGAGTGCGCTTATTGCGTAGTTGCATCCAGAAGAAATGAGATTCTTTCCGACTATAATTTCAAGTTAAAGAGTATTCAGTTTCATTTTTATGGTGTTTAATGAACTATATCTCACCCATCATAAAATATTCTAATCTTTCCTTTACGTTCTCTCAGTAATAATGCTTTACATATTTTAAGTTAGTAGCAGTAAATTATACTTCTGTTTTCTTAAAGTCAGCCAAGAACTTAAGGCCAATGGGAAATGAATTAATGTGTAAATGAATTACAACACCTGTTTAAAATATAACTGCAAACTAATATATCGTTTAGTTAAGATATACACGAAATCACTCGTGTGAAATGTTTCCAAGTAGTTTTAATTAATAAATAGTTGAATTCCAAGTAGTTTTAATTAAACAGATTCGAAAGTAATTCCTTTCCTCAGAGCATTTTAATTTCGCAGAATGATAAATTGCTTTGCTCGTTGTGCTTCGATTTTCGTGATTAATCATTGAATGCTTTGCTTAGGTGGAACTAGAAGTAATTATTTCAGTCATAACTTATGGCATCACAGAAATGTGCAGCATGATTACAGTTTGTTTAAATAGAACTTACTTAATATTCAAATGCTATTTCTTCACGTGTAAACAATAGACGGAGCAGTTTTCCTTATCAAAAACTGGAATTAATGTAGCTCCAAAACATGAATGAATGTGAGATGATGAGTCATTCAATAAGTTGTAAGCCTTACACACTTGTACTACATAAAAGTGTAACATTATTTTCTCAGTTTTTCTGCATAGTTCTCTTGACTTCAATGCACTCATAATAGTGATCCCTTAAACATTGCATTTCAGCAAACAATATTGCTTTGAGAAGTTCTCCAAACTTTCCTGAATTGCATCCATCAAATCATCACCGTGGTTTTAACATGAAACAGGTACAAGTTGCTGCTACAATATTTGAAGCAAAAAATGACCACGTCTAATGAAAACATGAAGGGGAAGAACTGTGATTTGCATAGCTGGAATAGCAGTCTTGGAAACCCCAATTCCATAGTTGAGAGACCAGTTGTATAAAAGCAATTATTATCTGTTAAGCTAGCCACGAGCGTTTTAGCGTTATGACTTGTTAAAGATAAATCGACAGGCTAGCATAAAATATATTTGTTATCTTGCATATATTTTGGGCATATAATGGTAGCAGTGGTCCTTTCTTATCTTTAAAAAAGGTATTCTTGCCGGCTGATTTCTAGGCAGAGAACGTAAATGGTCGGAATGACCTATTGTTTCTAACCATGTTCTCTTGTTTTATTTTCACCTTAGTCATAATGCCGACGCCATGTTTTATCTTAAGTCACTGGACGCCGCTCAAGCTGGCCTCTGTCCAGAATCTTAAACATACGGAGTTTAGATGGCAACTCGTTGAGAGATATTAGGACTATGACAATGGTATTAAGTTCTGCTGAACTGACAGCATATAACATGGTAACAGATTAAGGAAGGCAGTACACGAAGTTTTACTGAAGACTTAATCATGCGCGAGATAAACACGTGCGCAGCTGATAAGAAAATAATCAAATTAAAAATACACATATCAATACAAGACTATATACAGAGTTGAATTAGGGTAACAGCATTGAACATAAAGGGAACGTTCCGAGAAATTGATTGATGTGGAAAACTTACTGTAAGGATGTGTTTAAAGCAAGCAGGCTGCATAAGAATTTATATGGCTGGAAAGCGAGCAGCACAGTTTTATTTTGTGCAAATCTATTACTACTAATATTAGCAGACCACGCTGACCAGTTAATGGAAGCTGGCTTTTAAAGTAATATTCTGATCTTTGTGGGCAGTAAAACACATAATGATCTGCTGTTACTCCCTTACGGCATACACAATGATCGATGTCGCTATGCCTGAAAAGGAACAAAATAAAAAAAATGTTTCAGCTTTTATAATGGAAAGTAGCTCTCGAAAATATTCTATTCAACATTTTTTTTTCATTTTTGACATCAACAGTCTAGACCAGATTTTCACCATCTACAGCTTTTCATTTGTGATATTTGACACTGTTCCAACACCAATGCTCCTATCCTTAGCAATCTAGAGAAATATCACTCGTCTCTATTTCATCGAGTATTTCTTGATACAAGCACTTTCTTTTAGTTACGCTGAGACTCTGGAATCATTTTCGAAAGACACTTTTCCCTGATAAACATAGCAACCCTCCTTTTGTCAATGGCATAGGAAGGTGCTGCATTTCCATAGAATACAACCACGCGATTATAAACACTTGCCAGCGTTATGCCCTCATTTCTCAAGAACTCAACACCGAGCAATGTTTGATATTTTTAATGCTAACAGATATACTAACTGAAAACATTTTTAAGCTTTTCTGTATCAAATAATTGCAGCAAGGGGCGTAAAATTTTCTTTTTATATTTCGAAATGATGATTCAATAATTTCTCCAAGTTCGTGACCTCACAAATATTGCATTATACTTATGCTTAGAACTTACTGAAAACACCTCATACATCAGGCAGAATTCATTTAGAGTGTAATCTGAATTTTCCTCAATATGGGTTTGTAAGACTAAGCTATTAATATTACCCGTTTTACTGGATTACTGTTTTGTACATTAATCAAAGAAGTTTCTATCATCTGATTGTAATATAGTGGTTAGGATGTATAGCTAGTACCGGAGGGACTCTGGTTCAAATTCCTCAAAAAAAGAATTCATTTTTCAAGATTCTTACTGACAGTGTAAAAAATTATCGCACCGCTTCAAGCGAGCTGTCATGGTGTATGTAGTTAATACAACCAGCTAGCAAGTCAAAAATCTGTGATTCGAATCTCGATAAAGTCGTAGTTGAAGTGTTATGTTTCCTACACCAAAAATGCTTAATAGCCTTAGCATACATATATGGATAATTCTAATAATGATTGCTTTATACGTAATCAATTAAGTATTGCTTTAAATAAGAACTTATTGAAAATTTAAAAATTGCTTTCTCAAATCATTATTTATTTTCGCGTAATTAATTAATTTCCCCTTTGCATCCTTTTTTCATATAAAAAAGACAATGATAATATTAAACCTTTATTTGAATTAATAATGTTACTGAGACATGGTTTTTCTATTAAAAAAAACTGCATATGAAAATCATAAATATTTTAACTAAAATAATTACATGATAAAAAAATTATTTCAAAAGAAATATATCTGAGGTGGAAGAATTTTTAATTGAAAGTTTTAACCTTACGAATACATAAAGCATGCATAAAAATAAAGCTTGTTAGTATGATAACCTAGGATCATATTGATTCCATTCGAAAATTTTTTTGCAGTCAAGCAATTAGTCAAAGATAAATAAATTATTTTACAAAACTATAGATATAATTTTCTACAAAACTATAATTAAACTAAAAAAATCTACAAAAATTACTTTGAGTAGCTAGTTTACCTATCAGAAATAGAATAAACTAAGAGACAATAAGCATATAACAAGCTAGCTGAGAGTCTTTAAAAAACAGAAAGATTTAGCTATAGATGCTTACCAAGTTGTTCTTAGAAACGAAAGGCTATTTCCATTGAATTAGCAGCTAACTATTATAGATTTCCGAGATTTATCCGAAACATTTTAAAAGAATTTTCTTAAGATTTAAGTACTGCTGCAGGAAACGACACTAATGGCAAAGTACCATATTTCAGCATTAAATATTGAGCACATATGTTTCGGAAATTAATCACTGATGGGAAAGTATGCAAATACATATTAATTAGCAGTAATTCACTCGGAATATTGTCGGAGATTTTCATAAAAGAAACACCAACATTAACAGTTTTAACTAAAGGAAAACCAGCTTCGTACGTGCAGTGGTTTGTATTGATTAACGGTTAATTCATTTACATTTTGATGTGGGAATGTACTCTTTTTCTCTTCGAAAGGGAGCTTGTTCAACAAGAAATTTTTTAAATATTGCGTTGATATATTTTGAAATTCAACTCAATGTTCTTGTATATTAATTAATAGAATATTTTGCGTTCTTGTAACAAAAAGAATTCTAACAGAGAGTTCTTCTAGCAAAAGAATTTTCTTTGTGGTATGTAGCAGATTTTGTTTTGCGCAGAAACAATAATATTTTCGCAGACTTTAGTATTTTGAGTATAGACTGAATTTTGTTATGAAAATTTTTAGACAACAGACGTTCCTAAGAAGACATTCAGCCAGAAATGAACTTTCATTTCCAGAAAATACCAAAATATCAGAAGTGCGTAAAATTAATAGCTTAATACCTGAGATAAGCGTGAAGCTGATACAGTAAACCCCTGGGCTACCCACTGTATTGATGTCTTGGGGCCCAGCGGCCGACGCTATGTCCACGTGAAATCGAACATTCCTCTGGAACATACTGGGGCCACTGGGTCTCTTGTACTCCACCCGGAACGACATGGGCGTTAGCACACTGTGGCTCAGATCAGCAATCTGCAAATAAACAAGCATTATCGAAAAATCAGCAATCTACAATAAGGTACAACAATTTTGATGTTAATACATTTGTCACCGCTTAGCATTTTACATTTGGTATCGATTAGCAGAGCGTAAATTAAAATGGGTATTGAGATATTACCTAATCTACTTGGCACACGTTTTTGCAATTAATATCTGATGGTTTTAATTTTGAACACTTATTCTATGTTAATTAATAAACTACTACTAAAGTATTTCGGAAATAATTACTGTTAAATTTATTACTGCTTAAGAAATAACCAAACATATCGTTACGAATAACCTGTTTAACGGATTCGAATGAAGTTTACAAAGTAAGCTTTTGTGGATAATCATCAGAATATAATCTAAAGCAAGTAAATGAAAAAATATAGAAGTGCTAATTATGATAGTTTGATAAATAAATTTGGGATTCATAATGATCAATGGATCTGGGATTCAGAATGATGAATGATAATATTTATCTTATAACATTTATCACACCCTCTCTCTGTAAACTCTGGTTGAACAACTACGATTTGTTTTTTCAACAGCCTTGAGTATTTTTTGAAGATGTGTTAATTCCCCCTTTTGTAGCGAAGTTTTTGGAAAATATTTGCTGGAACACTGCGATCTTGAATTCATCTTCTTAACATAATCCACAGTCGTTTGACCCAGGACTTGAATTGAATAGCTTCAGATTTGGTGGCTTTGGAAGCCCCTACGCATGTAGAATTATTTCGCTCTCCACAACTGAAATAAGAGATCTCTGTACGGTCGTGCATTAGCGTCAAAACAGCATTGCATCAGTTTCCATTACAGCAATCAATGGACTAACAGAAGAATTAAATGTAGAATGCAGAATTTCACAGAAATATCGGACAATCATTACTAAATTATTAGAGACAAAAACATGAAGATTATTGTGACAATTATGGGTGTCCCTGGACATAACAGCAAACAACTTTTCCTATAAAAGTCCTTTGATACTTTTGCTCGATAATAAGTAAAAATACTCTAGATACCAAGTCCTTATCACCCTGGAATTTAAATCGAAACTCATCCCTATATAGTACTTAATTTCACTCATCTTGAATCCATCGCAGATATTCATAGGTTCGGGGCTTAAGTTTCAAAATTATAAGTGACAGCGCGACGAGGAAAGGTCAACCAAAAAATGAAATAAAATGCAGAACAATTAAACAGAAATAAAATGTAAACAGGTAAATGATACATAAAGTTAAATTAATGATAAGTAGCTTAATAATAAGCCAACGTTCCACAGCTTATCTTGTTAGGAGTTTCAGCTGGAATTGCAATTTTACTTAATAACTCAGAGGTAGCGAAGGCGTGCTCCGACTGAATTTAAGCCCTATATGGGCTCAGTCCAGCCAGCTCTTAACCTTTTAATTGATACTGATATGCATCGGCGAACATTTCTAAGGCATAATGCTATCTATGAAATTAAAATGGCTTATTTTCGTCAATGTAAGCACTCTTAAAGCGTAAATACGTAACAGTTATTTTTTAACAATGACTTTTTTCAGAATCTTCAAATACTACGTTTCATTACAGAGAACTGCAGAAGATAGATATTAGATTTCAAACTTATGTTGCATATTTAACATGCCTGTGTACCCACACATGCAAGAATATACAAAAATATATAACTAAACGTAGACGATATAATTATTGAGAGCATCTTATGGATTTTCTATCAGACGAATGTTGATATTTTATGTATTTAGGTGTTTATTGCAAATGACCATATGAATATACATCAAAGAATTTAAGAGACCTTTTATTTATTTTTCATATTACGAACGCTCATTTCCATTACATCCGTGGAAATTAAGTATATCACTGTAATAAGTATAAATTCACTATAGAATTTTATACGCTGAAGTGCAGTACTAACTGATAGAAAGGCATGGATGAGATCTCCTTTCACAGAGCTTAGTGGTCGATCCTTGACTAAGATCACATGACTTTCGTCTCTCTCGGATGTCATGAGACTTCCAAACCAGGACCTCTTCGTCAGCCTGTAGGTAAAAACAAGAATTATTTCCTATTCGCTATGTATCGCATAATATAGGGAAAATATCTAATAATATAAAATATTTCTGTAGTAGGTGCAGACATTTGCTATTAAATATAGCTTTCATTTATTACAATAAAATTTCAAATACTTTGTAAAATTTATGAGTAGTTTATAATAGAACTTAAATTCATTTTAATTACAACCGTTAAATATATAATTAATAATTTGGAAGGTAAAGACTCTAAGGTTTCTTTATGTTAATCAACCATTTATTTTATGATTTAGATTTTTGCTGCTAGTTTCTCCTTTTGTTTATCCGCCAGAATGCAAATAAATTCGCGTGTATACGCGTATACGCGGTGAGGTTTCTGGATTGTAAGACATAGCGTGTTCTGCCTCTCGAGGCCACGTTTATCAGATAAGTTTTGTAGTCTTCAGTTTGATACCTTGCATTATAATTTTCGATACTGAATCTCCACGCCTGTTAGATAAGTGACCCAACTTCGCGTTAAACTGATTTGTGTAGCCTTTAGGTACTTGTTTACTTAATTTCAATTTTTTCATTTGACTGTTTGTTACGCTAAGTTACATCGCCACAAGGGGTTGGGTGATTAGTAAGTATCAGGTGTGTCTTCTGTTCTTGTTAGTTTTAAATAACGGTTTCTTTTATACCCTTCACAAGTTTATTTAGACTCAGTGATAGTTCTCTTAACGTCTACAAAGAGTTTGGACTTTATTAAATGATTGCAAAATATATCAAATTTGATAAGACGTTATGCCATAACTACTGATAACATCTAGAAATTGGGAATCTGTCAGGCTGCTTGGAAATAAAATTAGACTTTTTTCAAAGCAGTAAACTTTGCCCGTATGATAAAACATTTGACAGTGTAATGTAACGTAGCATAACGTGATGCAACTTCTTGATAGTCTGATAACAGTGCTCTGATTTATTCGCTAAGAATAAAAAAAAAATTCTCTAAAATAGTTTCTCTCAAAATAAGCCGGTAACATCAATAATGGATATTAAGAATTATGATTTTCTGAATTAGTAATTCAACATATAGCATTTTTCTGCTAAAGCAGTCGGGGGGTCAGGAGCAACGATCTGGATTTAGAGTCAAACTTTCTGTTGCCAGACAAATGTTTTCCATCACTATTTAGAGCTAGAGCTAGCACCAAATACGAAACTTAGGAAATTTAATTTAACAAACTCACTAACTTGGCCACGGCTTCATAGGTTAAGCTCTTTTACACTTCAATATTAAGATAGAACGTATTTAAACCAAGCACAGAGACAAACACCCGAATTTAATCACGAATGAAATAGTGCAATAGCTTAGAAAAACACTTGGGGATAAGTTCATCCTCCAGAATTTCCTTTTCAGTCAGACACAATTGTTAACGGCTGAATTACAGCTAGAATTCGAATCTAGGGTCTCCTTTCTGTGAATATATAGCTTTCTAACTAAATTTTCCAACTCCAGTAACTGGTATTCACCTTGTGGGTTGAAAAGTTTGGAAGTCCTGAAAGCTTACAGCTAAAAGATTAATATTTAAATAAAAATGCACGTCATTGTAACAAACCAAAGAATTAAAAAAATAAAAATGTAATAATTTTTGGTACTTTCTGATTATATTCAACCACCTACCGGTTTCAAAATTTGGAAGAATATCCGTATTATTCAAGTATTTTCCACCTTCCATGGGACACTAACCAATCAACACATGTGCGTATCTCATACGTATTTGAATATATATGGATTAAAGTGCATCGTATTTAACCGTCATTTAACTGGACAATATGTGTTAAAATGTAACTATCAGTCATATGGATTTTTTTTTATCATAAAATTACTTATTTCTAATAAAATACTTTTTACCCATTATTCATGACCAGAACAAAAGCCGAAACCCGCGATAATTGCCAAACAAGTGTTTTTCGCCAATTCACAAAGTCGCTGTTCTGGTTATGAGGATAATCAGAAAATATTTTATTGCTTATTAATTTTATTATTGTTGTTTTATGTCAACATATAATTACTGTAATTTTCAATGATTTCTTAAATAAGTACATAGGTATACATAAGTTTCTTAAACAGATAAGCAAGTACATATTTTCAAATCTAACCTTTGTCCCAAAGGTCATTTTGAAAAATAATAGTTTCTGCCTAAAATTGTCGCTTGTACAAATAGTTTCCGTGTATTTATAATTTAGGTATCTACATTTTTTCTCTTAGGTTTCTATACACTAATGAATTTTAAAATCATTAGAATTAGAGTAAATTTTATGAGTCAGAAGCTAATATTTTAAATATTATACATAAATTGGTATGACAAAAGGACAGAAAGCAATTCTCTACTCACTCTGGTGAAGATTCAGGTGTAAGACCAATTTCATCGGCTGTAAAGTGTGAAATAAAAATTATATTCATATACTGCATAAAATATCATAAAATATTAAACATTTGTAAAATATTTATACTTCTTCTGGCACATATTTTTCATAAAATATATATTATCATATTGGGCTTTATACTACATCGTCATTTGATTTAAAAGATCATAAATAAAAAAATATGCTATATCCATAAGCCCAAATGACATTATGTTTTAAGGAAATGTTGCAATTTTGCAAATTCAGATAAACTATCATCCATTTTTTTTCTTTTATACTTGTTTGCTATTCTGCACTTTTTCTTTTACAATAATATGAAATGATTTATATATTTTTTGAGTTAATTTCTTTAAGAATCGAGATTATAGCATAATACCTATTTCTTTATCTTCAAATCAGTCATATACTTCAGAAAAATACGAAATACGATGCAAATAGATTTTTTAAAATACAGTCATGTCCATAAATTAAGGATAATGCAAAATCGGGCAAAGGAAGAGTTAGAAGCAAAACAAATTTGACTTAGTTGTAAAGCTTATTTATTAAACAAAAGGCAAAGAGCAAAAAAAGATGTTATATGTTTGATATTATTAAAAAATTTAGCGATTTTTCCCCTTTGAGCAAATTACAAAAAAAAAAAAACCTATTTACAAAAAACCAATATTATATGGTTGGTATGAGTGTTCATACGTTGTATGTCTCCCAGACGATACAATACAGTCCGTACAACGCCTAGGCATGCTGAGTATCAAATTATCGATCTGATCTTGGGGGATATTACACCACTCAAAAAGCAATGATCTCCGAAGTTCCGGTAGACATGTAGGAGGAGGTTGACGAGCTGTAACTCGTCGGCCAAGCATGTCCCACACGTGCTCTACTGGATTCAAGTCCGGTGAGAATGCTGGCCAGTCCATACGGGTGATATCCTCCGATTGAAGGCATTCGCTTACGATGTTTGCACGGTGAGGACGGGCGTTGTCATCCATAAACACAAATTGTGCGCCCATGGCGCCCCGAAACGAACGTACGTGTTGTTCCAGAATGACGTCCCGATAGATTTGGCTTGTCATGGTTCCAATTTGAACATGCAGGTCAGTTCTGGAACCCAGAATAATTCCACCCCAAACGAGCACTCCTGCACCACCGTAACGGTGTCGTTCAATTATGTTTTCTTGGTGGTAACGGGTACCTGGACTTTCTCCATATGAAAGTCCGGCGAGAATCAGACTGCAAGATAAACCTGGACTCGTCGGAAAACATCACACAAGCCCACTGTTGTGGTGTCCACTATGCATGCTCTCTACTCCAGGCTAACCGCAGGCGACAGTGATTTGCAGTATGTGGAACGCATCTGACAGGTCTACGAGCATATAGACCAATCTGCCCTAAGCGTCTGTACACGGTCTACCTTGAAATTGTCATACCAGTGGCTGAAGAGAGCTGACGAGACAGGTCTGAGGCTGTGCTCCGCCTGTTTCTTTTGCAGTAACTGCCAACTACCGGTCCTTATTCGGCGTTGTAACTCTGGGGTGACCTGTGCTGTAACGTCTACTCACATTACCATCATCTTGGAATCGTTGCCAAAGCCTGGACATGACAGTCTGGGCAACTCCAAGTTCGTCTGATACTTCCAGTTGGGTAAGCCCACATTCCAGACGGCCGATAATTCTACCCCGTAAAAAATCATCCAAATGCATCCTTTGTGTCATAACTATTCGGTTATTGCACTGAAATGCTTATAAAGCGCCTGCGAACAATTTTACTTCTTTGCCTGTATTCCTTATATATCACTCTCTTACACTCTCGTCATTGTGACGTACCATCGGTGTCATCTGGTTACTTTCTGAAATTTGCATATGATTCTTGAAGATGTGTGTAATGATTTTACAGGTGATACATTTATTTTAGATTTCGATTTCCGCGTGACTTCGAATTATCCTTAATTTATGGACATGAGTGTAGTTCAGTTTTTTTTGGGGGGGAGAGAAATCAAACTGGTGACGTGTTGATATTGTATACTGAAAGTTTGGATGGTATTAGCAAAAAGCAAATCAAGATTAAGCGCACGAAAATACAAGCATGATTCGGAGAGGTTTATTTAAGAAAAAGAGTAGACAGTTGTGATGCATGTGGAAAGTACAATGTATATAACTTTGTCTTTCAATTTTTAATCACCATGTGATATTTTAAAGTCATTCAGCATTCACGCTATCAAGTGAGTTGCCATTTCAGGAGAGACAAGAATTTTCGCTTATCACCCTGGCTAGCTGCTATAGTCTCTTGATTTAAAATAGGCACATTAAGGTCGGAACGACTATCCCCTTATTCAGGATTAACGTGTGTCGCTATCACCACACAGAGAGAATCAGGAAACTTTGGCAATTTAGAGGATATATATATATTGAAAGGTTTACCTTAAGTTTTTAACAGTTATTTCTAGTTAAAGCTACTTTCTTGTCCATCATAATTTCAGATTACTATTGCCTACCAGAATGTGTTTTTAGAATCGCGTTTAATGCAAATGAGTAAGAGCGGTATTTAAGTCGAAGTTCCACTGACTTCGAGAGAGAGTTAAGAGATTCTGACTAGCGTGCGTTTGCCTTGTGGCTACGTCTCTCTAAGCTGTTACTATACTCGGCCGTATTACGGGTCCTTGATAGCTTCGCTAGCTTATTCGATATTTAGGGGCCAACTATTAAGAAGTTTAATAGCTTCGGTTGTATCTCTTTAGTTAAGCATGATTTAAGTCTTATTTATTATTATTTTGAGTTCTAGCTGAAGTGGGGGCTTTACTGTACTTCCTGAGAAAGGGTCCAACTGTTAACTCTTATTTTGTGCAATAAAGGGTAATTAACCCTTCTCGAGTTTACGTCACTGTTCCTGAACTTAAGCGATTATTCGCTTAGCTGTTCACTAGGTTCCTCCACATTTAGTTGTCAGACAGATAAAAGTGTGGAAACACACAATATATATTGCTTAACTGAAAACTGGTATATATATATATATATATATATAAGCAGTTTTGAATAGATGATTATATTATATATACACTGCCCGACATTGAAAATGCAACACCAAGAAGGAGTGGCCAGAAAGTGTTTAAACTCGGCAAACGGAAAAAGACAACAACGAGCAATAAGTGATCTTTATTTCGAAATGATATGCATATAATACAGAGCGAGAACAGCATCGGCTCAGTAAACTGTAGGACCACCTTGGACGGCGATACACGAAGCAACACGTTGAGGTACACAGAGTCAATGAGACTACGGATGGTCTCTTGAGGAATGGTTTTCCATTCCCTGTCAACCGTTTGGCACAGTTCGTCTTCTGAACGCCGCAGTATCAGGGTCTGGAAATGGTGTCCAATCACATTCCAAATGTGTTCGATTGGTAAGTGATCAGGAGAGAACAGTGGCTAGGGAAGCAACTGTACACCTTGCTGAGCACGATAGTTGATGCGAGCAGTTTGTGGTCGGGCGTTATGCTGCTTATTAAGGGCATTGGGCATTCCCTGAAGGTGAGGGAATTTCACCGGCAGCAGCACATCATCCACGTATCATTGGACCGTCATAGAGGCCTGAATACGAACTAGAGGTGACCTGGAATCGTATGCAATTGCGTGCAAAACCATGATGCTGCGTGTCCCTCGGTAGGGCGTTCCACGGTGCTGCCGGATTGTGCCTGTCTCCGCATCGTACCTGGCCATACTCGTACGTGGCGACTAACATTGGTGAAAACAGATGCTTGATTCATCTGGAACACGACCCTGTGCTATTCCTGTGTTTTTCATTGCTCGAGCCCGGAAACATTGCAGACGTTGACGTCTATGATGTGGGGTCAATGGCAGTCTTTTTAACGGACACCACGAGTGCAAGCCACTACCCACCAATCGATGGCAAATGGGTCTGGTCGATATGAGAACATCCAGGGTGTCCATGCTGCAGAATGGAGGAAGAAGTGGCTTGCGGATGCGCCACCGCTTATCTACTTCAATCGATGCGTGCTGACGTCACTCGTGTTGCAACGGCATCCTTCAAACTTGAACATTTTCTTGTTCCAATCATCGTCGCCACAGCCGTTCACTGTGTCAAGTGTGTGTTCAAGTGTGTGCCAGCTGAGATTGGCCGTATGAACCCTCCCTACCCTTCTCAGCCCGATCACCATACCCTTCGTAAAATCGTCTCTCTGCTGGAACTGCCGCCGTTCACGACGGCTTGGTCTTGTCTGCTATTACACGTGTCCTCTAAGACAAGAACAAATTTTCTACGATGACTTCCCTAGCAGAAATAATGGCACGAAATTTGGACATTCTTCAGATTCCTTCCCTTATATCTTCTTCAACGTACGCTTGAGAGCTACGTATTTCACATCATTCGAATAACTCGTCTCTACACTAAAATTTGCATAATTTTCGAGCCACTCCTTCTTGGTGTTTCATTTTCAATGTCGGGTAGTGTATATAAAAAAACGTTAACCACTTTTGAAAGGATGATTGAACAATGTTTATTCATTCCATATTAATGCGTACTGAAAAAGATAAAAGCAATTCCAAAATACAACGCCATCTTCTATCAATGTTGCTGCTCTATGCCTTTCTTCTCTTTTTTATATTTCCATGAAATATTTTGCTTTATTTTGATTTTGTGATAGTAATTTTGCTCCGAATTTTCTGTCACCATTCTTCATGCTTTCGTGGTGTAATTGGAAAAAAGGCGCACTTTGCAATCGGAAGATCCGGAGCTCGAATACAGGTCGCTGATTCTTCATGTTTCCGTGTTTCAAAAAATTCAATTGAATCTGCAAATAGCGCTCAAACTAAAAAATGTAGTGAACTACAATTCACCATCACCAGAATATGGCGACTGGATGCTCTCCTCCCAACTCCCCTTTTAAGTGACGGAGAATGTAACGAATTTTATCTTTCTTTACCGCTTGTCTACATGGTGTAATTGTAAGTAACCTTGCCAAAAAAAAAATAAATAAATAAAAAGGTCTGTTTTATATCTCCTGTTCTACTGGACCTATTGCCAAAATTTACCTTGCATTTTTCATGCTTCAAAAGCTCGACTTAGGATATATAATAGATTTACATATAGCATTGATTTAACATAGGAATTTTTAAACAAAACCGTTACTTTTTCTGAGATGTCATACCGAATCTTTCCATATTTCGATTCTGCGACTTAAATTATGCCCAAATATTAAATTTTGTAAAATTTGGTTGAAATTTACCGAGAAATTTAAAAAATTATGTTGGCACATTTTTTTCAATTTGCGCCAAGAATAACTAATTGGCGAAATTTTTAATTTATAGCAACCTATTTTCGTTTCCCTTTTATCATTGTGCATGAGAGGAAAAAAAAGGTGCGTCTTTCTTGCTTTCAGATAATTTTAACAATGTGCGTAAAGCATATTTGGCGTTATTATCGCCTAAAGCAAATATGCCAAACTTCAGAACCCGCCAATACATAAATTTACATGTGTCTTTCGAAATTTTGATTAAAAAACTCTTAATTTTTCGCAGGTATGCCTAGAAATACATCTACTTTAAGATGATGACAAACATTTTATAGTTTATCATTCAAAAATATTTTCGAAAAATTTCTAAGATTTAGTGAAAAATACAAATTTTAAAAATAAATCAGAAAATAGCTGCGAGTTTTATTTGGATTGAATCTAGCTATGAAAGAAGGAATTAAATAAGTTTAATAAATATGAGCTATTAATAAATATATATCAAATTCAATTATCACTGAGGAGCGAAAAGTTTTAGAGCTAATTTTTTAAAAACCTACGTGTGCAATTTTTACAAAACTTGGCATTTTGGCTTAACTTCAGTCACAGAATTGAGGTATGGAAAAAATCGGTATGTCGTTTCAGAAAAAAGTCCGATTTTGTGTCAGAATACCTAGAACAAATACATATAAATCTAATATATATCCTAAGTCGCGATATCGAGACATAAAAAATGCAAGTCAAATTTAATCAATCAACCACCCAGTGTTACGTGTGATATAGAACTGGCCCCCCTTTTTTGTGCTAACGTCTAGCTAGCTATCAGAAAGTCAGAAGTTACAGTCTCGGTGAGGACATGACTTAGTTTCATGCGACTCTAATTTAGCCTTAGTTGCGCAATAAAGAAACAAACCTTTTTTGTACGTAAGGCCCGGTTAACTCGGGAATTGAGTGTATTTACAAATTTAATGTTTATTTATGAGAACAGGAAAGGCCGGATCATATTAGCTCGTCTGCAAGGTCTATGCTCAGTTCATTACTGTAATCAGTGTAAATAATACTTAAGAAGGAATATGCTATAAATCATACGGAAAGCTACGTACATACATCAAAGATGCCATAAATAAGTTAATCAATTACAAAAAACTAAATTTTTTTGTTAAAAAATTTTAATTGGATATATTTCTTCGACTCCTATAAATTAATTGACGACAAAATATTATTTTATTCAATTTGAAAATCACTGGGAAAGGCCATAATGCAGTGAAAAATGAAAGTATTCATCACAACGAAATCCACGGCATCAGACGTGGAAACTCACCTTGCAGTTTCCTCCTATGGAACCTTGGGCTGCCAAGGAAACTATTTTTGATGGTGCTGAGGCGAGATTTCCAGTAGGGCTGGTTGATACATGGAGATCCGGGTGGAGTGTTATATGGGCTTTCATCGGGGGCTGTACGGGGTGTTGGCTTCGGTGAACTCATTGGAGAAATTGAAGGACTTCCAGCATGTAAATTGCTGCTACTTCTCCGACTCCGTCTAATTGAAAAAATTAGTATGCATGTAAAATACAGCTGAAGAGTTTTCAACAGACAAGCTACCCCCATTCATGAAATCAAAGCAAATTCGCTTAATAAAATCTATGACATTTACAATAGTTATCATTATCATTTGCGATTGCATTTGTCTAGCTTACGTCTGTTAAAAACAAACAAACAAAGAAACAAAAACAAAAACAAAAAAAAAGAATGTTTAGAAAAATTAGATGAAAATCTTCACTCAATTCGGGCTATAATTGAGACTTTTGAAAAGAATTGGCCCTTCATTAGTAAAAGGAAAGAATCCATATTTGAGAAAATATACATTTTTACAAAATTAATTAATAATTAATATTTACAAGTATCCCTTAACTCTTCAAAATCCTCTATTACCCTCCAGTTAAAGTTTAAAGTAATATTATCATACGATAAAGAGTTAAAAATTAAAAAAAAAAGTTAATGCCTGCCTTTTTAATATTGAATTTAATGAAATGTTTTTTGACTTGGTTATTAACTTGAATATTAATTAGTTTTATTATTTCTTCCTTCAAATATTCTATTTCAGTACATATATTTTTAATTCTAATCATTTGGCTATAAAAAGTGTTACCCATTACTATTTTAGTGATATTAGAGTTCCAATTAATTAGTTTAATAGATTCAAGCTGGAATGTCCTCCTTTTATCATATCATTTAATTTTGTTCTGTTTAATTATGAGCATATCTAGGTATTGAATATTATCTTGATTTGTATTAGTTCTATTAAGTGTTAAACTATCTGGGTAAATTTTGAATTGTTCAAAAGCAGATTTACTATTGAAAGTTATATCAGCAATGTATCTGACTGTATTTGCAAATAACTTTAATTCATTCTTATTCAAACTAAGTTGGAATTTATGTTCATTAGCAAAAAGAAATAGGTTACATATATGTGTAGAACTGTTCGCTCCATTGGAATTCCTTTCAGATGCTGAAAGATCTTATTATTGAATTTAATGTAATTATTAAATAATGCAAATTGCAGATAAGTTTTTCATCTTTCAATTCAGAGGATGCTTAGCATGTCCGGAAAATGTTATGGGAGTTGCATTAAATTAGTATAAATTTCGTCCAATGGTAGAGAAGTATAAAGGTTTTTTAAAGTGATAGCAGTTAATGTTCTTGATTTCTAAACTTTTTAATTTGTCGAGAACTGGAGTGTTATTATAAATAATCCAACAGTAGCTGTTCTGCTTGTTAACTAGTTGATGAATTAAAAAACAGATTTTTAAGTTTAATTGAAAATATTTAATCTGCATTCTTTTTATAATTATTTGTACCATTTGCTATAAATCTAAATTTGAGTGGTAATTTATGGTATTTCGGAAGAGCATAAAGATTTGCTAATCTATTGTACTTAGATGGTTGTGTAATTAGTAGTTTCTTATGAAATGCTTTAAGCTTTTTTGCTATGACATTTTCTTGTGTATTGGTAAGTTTGTAAATAATGGCATTATTCAGTTCATTATCAGCTAGTGAGACAAAAAAAAATTTCAAATAATGCGGAAATTAGTAACAAACTACTCACTTCATCTAGTTTTCCTTCTCAGAAATTCAAATCTGTAGTTCTAGGTAAGTTGAATTAAAACTTGCTATTTACTAGCTATTTTATTATTATTATTTATTTTTGACACATTATATATAGTTTATTTTAGGTTTGCATGCATAATTCGTGTTGGGGAAGTTTCCAGTAGGCAAGAGTTTCTAAATTACTTTGGTTTTATAAAACAATTTGGTTTTTAATCTTAATTAATATTTAATTATTAATAATTTTATTTCTAGTCATTTTCTTGCTAATTTCTCAAAATTCCAACTCTTTTAATTCTTCTTTTTCAGTAATTCACCACATTTGGGTTTTACTTTTGGATTTTGAATTTTACTTTTACCCTTGCCTATGTGGATGACGAAACACGAATTAAGTAATTGAAGAGTTAGGTTTGGGGGCAAATTTCCCTTGAATAAATCTGTCTCCTGCCTGCTCAACAATTATTCACTTATGCAATTTAATTTTTTGGAATAATATTTTTTTCATGGTTTTAGATACGTGCACTTAATTTACATATGCTCTTAGAATTTTATATGATTTTGTAAAATTAGTAGCAATAAAATTTAGTTATTTAAATTTATTTTTTATTTTTATTTATTTATTTATTTTTATTTTTGCAATTCAATTTCTTAATTAAATTAAATATTAGCTTTTTACGAATAGAGAATATTTGTTAAATTCAAATTTCATTCCTTGTAGCAATGGCGCAAGAGAATTATTTAAATTTAATTTAGCTTTACTATATTCTTGGGAAACAATATATATATATATACAATGAACTATATACAATACATATATATATATATATATATACAATGAACTATATAAAATACATATATATATATATATATATATATATACAATGAACTATATACAATACATATATATAATAAAAATTATCAGTTCGCAACTCTGCATGCTTTTGTGTTTTTGTTCACTAGCTCACTGTTTAAGTAGACAGTTCATTTTCATAAAACAGAACATTGTATTGTCATATGATCGGATAGTCATATGATGGACACATTTGCATATTTTTCTACGCAGTATTTCACGATTTTTATAAGTCTACGCAAAGCATTTTTTATTTCGTAGCAGATTTTCACTCTCACATGTGCACCTCAGCTGGTGAGATGCAAAGGAGCCGTATAGCCCCGATAGGGGAAGGCATAATGGTAGTCTACTTCTCCACAGTTGCAGATCTTGTTTCATGTCTTCCCAAAACGCTTCAGATAGCTGACGAATCAACCATGACCCGTGACGAACCGGCGATTGACAATTTGAGAAATGTTAAATATTGCTTCAAAGGGAAATTAAATCTATTTTCATTAATGTTTATGCATGCTTATTATATTGTAGTTCTCTGCCGTTATCATTCAAGTTTCATTTTTTACACAAGTCCATTCGGCTCAAAGGGCTCCTGGACTCGTTTGCCCTATCCCCATCTATTTTATAGAAGCATTTGTTTTTAACTTTTTGATCGCGTGGTTTTGTTGCCGAACGATAGGAAGTTCATAAGTATTTCAGTTAGTAGAAATAATAGTAGCTTGTTTATTACGGTAGTAGATGCTGTAGGCAACAATGCTTTTGGAGCTAGCTGTGTAGAAATTTCACAAAGTTGTACTATAACTGAATATCCCTACTGTACACATTTGCGATAACTATATGAAAAAATATGCTGAATCCCCCTCTCAAGTTCGGGGCCTCCCTGCAATAGTAGGGACCTAAAAGAACCCTAATGTGGATGCGTGTTAAAATGTTTGAAGGTAATTTTAGGAAGCTCAGATTTATGTGAAGTATACACATGTCATTAAAATGCAAATAAAATCCTATAGATGGCGGCACTTACCCATATGGATGCCTCCTTGGCTGCATGGGCGAGCCATCGCTCAGCAAGTCGAATTGATACCTAGTGGAAAAATACCATACAACAATGATGGAGATCTTTTTAAACTTAATTTTAATTAACTTCTAGAGACCTTTTCAAAGTAATTTTAATGAGTTTCTATCTTTTAATTTTTTTTAAGTAATAAATAAATATTTAACACTTAGTTCATCAGTACTAACGTTAGAACCATTACAAGTAAAGGGAGAACCACTCACCTTGGGCCAGAGTTACCATTAACAACACATGTGTCAATACGTTTCCGAGGCGGGTCAACTAGAAAAATGGAAGCTTTTAGTACAGATATACACACAAAAAAAAATATGCATATAAGCATTTATTTTGATGTAAAAGAAAACTAAGATTAAACTACGTATTTGATTCTTATTAAAAGTTTCATTATATTGCAAATGTTTATTTAAACTTAAGAACAAAAAGGTATTATGATGAAATAATTTCTTTCATTTTTATTCACAATTTTCTTAATTATTCTCATGATTTATTTTCATAACAAATAAATCCTTTCCCACAATTAATTATAAAACGGCTTAAAGTAGGTATAAGTCACTATTTTGCAGTTTTGTTCAATACGCTAGCTTTAAGTAAATAAGTGTTTTAGAGCATATTACTTTGGATTAACGTTTTTATTCCAAATACATTTTAATTAATTTCTTCCTATTTTCTGTTTTGTAATGGTTCAAAATTTTAATCCTTAAACAGTACTCCAACCGTTTAATGAATAAACCCAAAATAAATTTTTAGTACCTGTTATCAGTAATAAATGTAAAAATTTGCAAAGTGTATTGCCAGTTACAATCTAAATTCTAACAATAAACTGAAATACTGAAAAATACGAAACTGAGTAAAATGATTTGCATCACAGTGTTATTAAATTTTGTTCTTAAACATTTCCACGCGGTACATATTCAGAAATGCATGTCTAACGTATTTCATTATGGTATGAATTTGAAATTTACAGAAACGATTTTTAGAACATAAATAACATTTTCAACAAAAATTAGGAGAATTAATTCTTTTTCCGAAAAAAAAAAAAAATCCAAAACCACATAAAGAATACTGAAAATCTACCTTACATTCATTAGGCAAATGCCTTCTAGAAATAGATATTTGACATAAATTCTGAATGCAGTGATTGTATTAACTTAGGTGTGTTGGTGTATTGAGGATACGGCAAAGCACACTAGGGCTATCTGCAAAGGGAAGAATGCCTTTGTGGAGGACTTTCTAAGGCGAACTGGCTCGTATACACTTTACACATGGGGAAAACTACGAAAACGCCCATGCAGCCAGCCCGTTCGCGGGATTCGAACCTCGGACCGAACTACCAGTATTTAGCGATTTTACCGCTCGGCCGCTGGTGGGCGTATTGACTTAGGAGTATATATAAATTACTGCAGTGTGATCTGACAACATTAAACATTTTTTAAAAATGTTTTCTTTTCAATAGTATGAAAATTCGAAATAATTTTTAAATATACATTCATGTTTTGTAATTTTAAAAATAAATCCATATTGCTGTGAAAAAAAGCAGATTTAAAACAATTTAGAATGTTATAAGACTTTTCCTTTGAATCTAATACATATTATTGAATCTAAACAGAGTTTCTTAGAGTTTGCTTAAAACTATAGCAAATGGTCGCATTGGAATAGGAAACAAATTCGAAATTAAAACCGCAAAATATTGCTAATTTGTTTAATTTAGTACATATTATATAAATTAGGTACATCCTGATTATACTTTTAAACTTCGAACGCAAATTTATATTACAAGGAAATTCGAAAAGCTGAAGATGTTGTAATTCGTTTCCTTCATTTATTTATTTGCGTAAATCTTCACCATTCGACGAGTTGCCAAAAGTAGCAAGTGAATGCTGGCGCCATCTATCTTTGCTGTATGAATCTCTTTGAGATATGCTGCATCCATTTTAAATAACGCGATTGAGTTATTTTGTTTTTAAAATTCATTTATCAGTAAAATTCTTTTTAATTCTGATCACAATTATAGTGGCATTCTGAGTGAATAATTGGTCATTAGGTAATTGTTTTATTATCAATAACTAGGTAATTGTTTTTATTGTTCAGAACATGTCGATAATTGGAAACAGTAGAAATAGTATTGGTGTACAACGATTACGTGTGTGGGCGAATCCGGCGTCGTCCTGGGGCTACTTCTTATAAGGGTAATCTGTGAAGAACACAATATTAAAGATGTTTATAACCATAAAACATGTACACTACATGAAAAATGAAAATAATTTGTCACCACAGTAATAAAAACTGTTATGAGAATGTTTATTTATATGGATGGAATGAAAAAAGAACGCCAGAATACCACTCAACATTTTATTCATCCATTAATTGCAGAAAATATGATGAAACTGCGAAATTGCTTAGCATGTTTGCAGAATGTTTTTAATTCTTACAAAAACTCCATTATTAAGTAATTTCGAAAGATACTGAGGCAAGTGTACATAAAGATAGACGTAATATTTCGAGAGATTCGAAAGTCAGTTATGTGTTAAAAGATTTATCCTCTTGTTTTTCACTCCTACATTACAGCAGGGATAAATAGAAGGGCTAGCTCATTTCTTTGTTCGACTCCTCGCCGACGCGAGCCTAATGGGGGGGGACGTAACAGGCAATAATCTGACGTCACTGTGATGCCACCTGTCCTGATTTCCCGCGTTTAAAACAGTAGTTTCATTGAGCTGCGAGACGATTTTCTAGAGGTTACATATCCCAAATTAATTTTAATAATATATATATCTGTTTTCTAATAATGTTCTGTTAATGTGAAGAGCGGAAAAATCTGCAGCGAACATTTTCTATGCAGTGTTTATGAAGATGATATGAAAAATCGCTTATTTGGATAAGCCACAAAAAGAAACTGTTGAAAGTGGAATGCTGTGCCGAAAGTAAATTATGATGACAATAATAAATCGAAATTGGTGATGACAATCAAATTTAAAATGATAATGATTTTGAAATAAAACTCACAAATGAAAATGTAGATATTCTTGAATGCCCTGAATGTTTAAGGATAAACAAGGATAGAAGATAATTTGCATTTATAAGATACAGTGATAATTTGAAGAACAAAATAATATCCTTAGAAAATTGTATTAAATTGTGTTAAAGTATTGAAAAAATAGAGAAAAGAAAAATTTTAGAATGTTTGTTCAGCGACAAAAAAGGTGGACGACATCTAGACAGAAATTGGTATCAGAAATTAAAATCTCAAATAGCGAAATTTGGGGGTCGGGGGAGCAAAAATCGGAGAATTTGGAAAAATGTCTAAAGCCTATTTTTATAAAGACACAGATTAATGCATTACTGAAAAAGAAGACAAAAATCAGGTGGACTAGTGAAAATATTTCACGTTGCATCGTCATAAGAGCTCTGTCATCTTAAAGCTATGATTTTTGGAAATCTAGGAATATCTTTACCTAGTATTATCAAATTAAAGAAATGGTGTTTATTTTATTTTTATAGTGTTTTCTAAATTTTAGTGTAGTCCAAGAATTCAAAGTAATGTTCTTACTCTAAAGAAGGAAAGAGGCGAATATTTGTATTCTGTATAAAAAATATGCCTTCTCAGTTTCGACGAAATGCATATAGATTGAAAACTCTGCTATGACTCTAAACTGGACCTAAGTTTTGGTTCTTTTCAAAATGTGCAGTTTGTTTTAATCAGAGGTCTCATTTCGCGCTCTGCCTCAAATTACTGAGAAACCAACCGCGTTTTAGATAGAGGATTTGTTTTAGAAGATGTAACTGTTTTAAACTTTGATATTTTTTTAAAAGAGGTTTTAAATAGAGATTGAGAAGAAATCAAATTGTGTCACAAAACTAAAACCAAATTATTTTAATGGTCAAGGGAAACGAGAGACAAAAAGTCACTCCAGAGAATACATTATTTTCAAAAAGTACCGCAAAAGGTATACTCTATCCCACAGGAAATCAGAAAGCATCTGACTTCTATGAGTTAATCGATAATATCTTCGGTATTATGAATAGTACCAAAATAGTACCAACAAGAATAACAAGTATTTAACAAACTAATTTTGTTAAGCACTTGTTAAAGTTATTCTTATTGTATCCTTTGTAACTAATTATTGATTAGATTTTGTGTTAGATTAGTATTCTGGATAAATATATAATAGTATAAAACATCAAATTAATTGGGCATAAAAAGACTGCTTCCTTTACTCACACTTTTGAAAAATTAAATAACTGTTTTAGGTACTCTGAATAAAGCTATTTTGTCAAAATTAAGGTAACAATCTTATATACATTTATTTAATTGTAATATATAGATATAAGTATAAATTACAAAATTATTTTAAAAATATCTATTATATTGAATCGGAAGAGAATTATAACAATGTAAAATTTACAATTAGGCAAAAAAATCCAACGTAGGTTAGCAGAAATGTTGCCATATATGTCATATATGTTTAAACCTATGTCAATGTAAAGTTGTTTTTTGAGTAAATTTAAATAGCTGCTATTATAGTTATCTTAGAAGCAGCATAAAAATTCTCTCAGTTAGCATGCAAATAAAGAAATGATTAGAAATAAACGTGCATTAAATAAAAAAACCTGCAAATAAAAATAAAAAAACCACGGAACTTTATGTTAAAAGAGTAGCACATTTTATCTATTATTTTAAAATTGAGTAAGCATTATTAAATTTTTTAATGGTTCAGTCTAAAATGCATAAAGCAGTAACATTGCGTCTTCCAAATTATAGCTATCTTTCACACACAGCTCATTTTAAACGCTGGTTCAAAAACGCTAATTTCCAAGCTGTGAATTATATTGGCGCGCTCAGTGTCATCATGGCTACGTCATCACTTCTCACTTTCTGCTTCAGGGGGAAAAGCTCTATGAGCTAGCCCTTCTCTTCTAAGTCCTGCATTACAGGGTCTTCGACAATACAACTTCGCACACAGTCCACCCTGTCTCTGCCAATACCGTTTGCTTACTTTCAAGGTTCATTGGATAATTTTTGTTTTTATTGTTAAGCAATAAAAATTTAACTCTCCGCTCTGGGGAAATGAGATGACTCAAGTTTTTTCTTGTAAATATTAATGATGGTTGTTTTCTCGCTGTTCTCATTTCGAGTTGCAAAATGATCGTATTTAGCGACGCTAGGCTTTTGTAAAGTGGATTGGAGAAAGGCTTTTTGTATTCTGTTAAACGCATACTGTCAATGAGTGCAATACTCATGTGCACGCTTTTTAATATGTATGGAATTATGCTGCTTGCGTAAATATCGCAAACTATGTGGAAAGTCCTTATAAATATTTTTTTTTTTTTTTTTTATTTCTCACTAAAATAAGAACTCACTAAATAATAAAAGTAAGCATAAAATAAATTAGCTATTCTCGCAAGGATTATTTTATGCTTTACTGTCATCCTAGAAAATATTGTTGTTAAAATATGGAAACTATTTAGTAGTAAGCAAGGAAAGTTAAAAAAAAATGAAAAGAACATTTTATACATTGCACTGTGATTTGTGAAATTACCATAGAGACGAAAATATCTATTTCTATGAACAGAAGTATTCACTGCGTAAGTTTCAGATATGATGGAAATCTTCATATTCATTAGCATATGACACTACAGTGATAAATGAGAGAAATGTTGGCATTGTGTCCAGAATGGTTGCCAGAACCTCTAGGAGGTACTACTTCCACTTCAATTTCGCGAGAGAACAGCCCGAGGGTGATACGATGGTCCCACCCCTCTTTCCCTTTCAACAATCCACACGAGATGATTTTCGGATAGCCATCTATTTAGAGTGCCCCTGTGTAGCAAAGACGATATACATTTTTAAACATCCATGCCTTCTCTGGGAACGTGAGCCCTTCGGTACCGCAGTAGGCTCCCCTAACCATTATACCATCTGGGCGGCAATGAGAGAAATCTACAATGAATTGGAACAAGCATTTATCATAACCTTCTTTGGATGGAGATTAGGATTTTGAACACATCTTATATTATCGCTAATATCTCTGCCTTTTTCTGCTGAACTTGAAGATCTATTTTCTATTTTTCGGTACTATCCGTTTCAAAAATGTATCACTTGTGTTTTCTAGGAGTAGTGAAAAACAAACTTCAAAGTGCAATTGCCATTTTCTGCTTTTGGTTTACCTTTTTTTACCAGTCTTTTTACGTTTTCACGCCACAAAGATGATACAAAAAAACAAAAACAAAAAAAAAAAAAAAAAAAAAAAAAAAAGGTCGGCGAAACTATTTTGCTAAATCCTTGCACGTACTTCTAGGATTAGTTTCCAACTCTTCTATAAATGATCATCATTATGATCCAAAGGCTCTCAATACGTGAGGCGTCATCAAGCTTCCCATCTCAAGACGTAAACTTTACAAACTACTCTCACATTGTTCATACTTAAGCTCATATCTTACGTATTCTGTAAAAGAAGGAGTACCGCATTCCCTAACCTAGTTTAATTTAAATAACGCAAAAAATTAAAATTATTGTCAGCCATTTTGAACAATTCGTCTTAGCAAGCAATAAGTACTGTACTAGCTTAACTGTTGTCGCTTTAGAACAATGAAATATTGTTTACGATGAGTTTAAGCGAAAAAATTCTTCCCAAATTATTTGATGACTAGCTGTACTTTGTCTTGACTCAAATTTTAATTTGAAAAACTCTTTAAATTAGCAACAGAATATTGAATAACGTAATAATGAATGTGCTGAAATTTTTTTCAGATAAATTTCAATATAGATTGAGGATACGTGTTATTTTTACTTCCTCGTACGAAGTAAAGGAAATACGGTAATCGCGAAATATTTCGGGTATCGTATTTCAACGAAAAATAATTTCAGCTGCTTTCGAAACCATTTGAACGATGTTTTTGCGTGTCATCTGTACTTACGAATAGAAAGTCAGTTTCTGAACCTTCTGTGTTCCTTTGCTGAGGGAGACCAAAAGTAAACTTTACGTTTTGTGCACCGAAAAATCTCTCTTCTTTCCGGCTGAATTATCTGAATTATCTGAACTGAATTATCTGAATGATAAATATATCTCTAATGAAATAAGTTTAAATGAAATGCAACAAATGAAACAAAAAACATGTATAATTTAATAGGCAAGGAAGCCATGTGGAGCCCAGATCAGATTTTTTAATTCTAATTTTAAATTGATAATTAATTATTATTTTCAATTTTAGCATGATAACACAATAGTTTTCAGTTACATTAAAAAAATGCCATTAAATTCATTTGGCATTATTCATGTCTTTCTGAAAGACCATCAAATCCAATTTTTCACAATTTAGAAGTAGCTATAGCAATAATAGCATTTATTTCAAAAACTTCTTTCAGTTGTTTTCATTTAACTTCTCTTATTTTAAATTAATATTAAATGTTCAGTTTCCCCACATTTATTTTCAAAATAGTTTCACTATTACATGGGACTCCTTTTGTACTTCACTAATGTTTGTTTTTTTATGTAAATTAACTGCTTATCGAAGCGACTTGAATTTATCGTAATTAAAAAATATTTACTATTTATATCCATCAGATAAAAATACTAATCGTTGTCATGCTAAATACTTTACTTTAAGGAGTACTATTGAATACTTTTATGATATTACAATGGAATAAATAAAATCAATTAAAAAGTATAAAATTCAAAATTATTCTTGCCAGGGATTTTGTAGTTAATATTTAAGACCTTCTTGAATTTCAGTAATTGTCGAATCAAAAAACGCACTATGAATATATTTCATTATTCAGAGAATTTTAAAATACAAGTCTTTAGAAAACGTGCTTTATGACTCATTTAAATTTTTACTCACCAGATTCAGATCTACTCCTTAGAATGACTTCTGTCTCGTCTTCGTAGCACGGTTTCCGCCTCTTCCTGTCCAACAATAGGAAGTAGATGACTTTCTCCGTGTTGTGGCTGCATTGATTGCAAGAACAAGAAATAGTTAAAAGATTGGCAGAAATATAAAATTTTCAAAATATAAAACTAGCAATGCTCTCAGGACGTGAATAGAGTCAACACATAGGATGCGATAAATTTTTACTCTTTGCCCAAAATGTATGATATCCACATATGCTTTAAACACCCGATCGCTTGAAAACGAGAAAGGATTAAGGCAAGGCAAAGTTAATGGCTTTCGTAATGTAATGATTTTACCCCTCGTCTGTAGACAAAATGAACCCGCTTCGATGTTGTAGCAAATATTAAGATTGCAAGAGACGTAGAAGGGAATCTTCTAGGGAATCTGGTCTTCCAAAACTAGTTTAAGAGATAGATTGCCACGCTGGACAGTTTCTCCGAAACCCAAAATATTGTTTGTTTCAGGCAGATTAGTCAGTCAGAAGCAAAATAAAATACGACTGGTAACAACCCCCTTTTGCTAATGCGAGAGATAGAGGACTTCTACTTAGTTTTTCGAATCGAGCTATAGATTGAAGCCACTAACCTAGGTAAGCAAAATTCCAACGAATGTACGAATGTTGTGGGAACTTGTCATATAGTTAAAATGCAGTTTCATAATGCTGTTAGCTTTTAATTCAGATAGAAAATGCTAGAAAATATAAAGCAAATTTTACGACAGTTGTGGCCGAGTAAAAATACTGAAACAATTATTAAAATTCACATAATGTATTGATATGATTAGAATCATTTTTGAGGTGAACCACCAGATTCAACAAACTTCAATCACGTTTTATATGCGTTTTAAACAGCATAGGTATATCTGATGTTAGTAGAAGAGAAGGAGCAAGAAATTAAAGGAATTGAGAGGTCTGGTATTAAAAGAAAATATTACTGTTTTTAATCCACTGCAAATCATTAAAGAAACTTTTCCTTATATTTGTTCAAAGTAAATGCGAATGTCATAAACTAATTATTCAGAAATAATTTCGGTAAATCCACTGCAAGCTGTTGTTTAATACATAAAACCAGCAGTTGTCAAGGCTCAGGACAGTCAAGAGGCTGCTCTGACGGACATGACTCATCTTCTCCCTTCGATTATCAAGGAGAAAACTGATGTCATTCAACAGGCTTCTCCCCTCGTCTAAAATATCTTGATCGTCATTCGAAGAAACAAGATTTACATGAAAACAGTTTATTAAATTACTACATGATGGAATTATTACACACTGCAGAGCTAACATAAATCGTGAATGTAACTTCACCCTAAATATTCCTGACGATCAAGTTTATCGAATTCTAATAGTTCATACTCCAGACATTTCATACAACCTTGACTTCTTTAACTCTGGGAAATTTAATTTTTATGTCCTAGGGACAACTAATGACTTATTAGTCATTAGGAACATTTTCCTTACATCGAGCCGGATGATACTGAAATGGCTCTTGAAAATCTCAATCATTTCCGAAATTGGGGAATTCATCAGAAGACGAGTGGATGAGAGATTTAGTCTGACGTTTTTCTTGGTCAACTTGCCAAAAAATAACCAGTAGAGCAGCATTTTCAATTTAATCGTTTTTGCTTCAACAGGGAAACATACCGTGGCAGAACTGGAACTATGCAGTGCTAACACTGCCAGTGTTTCACACTCAGGCAATATATACACATGATACTTGCTGTGTTTTCCTCTTTTCTTTATTGTGAGAAACTAAGCGTTTAAACTCCTAATGTACTAATTGTGGTCTAGGACAAACGGCCAGTCCTAAAATGTGTATTTGCTTCCTCAGATCAGGGCGATGAACAAGCATAAAAATGTGTCTGTTGTGACAAACAAATTTTACCCTGCTGCTGTCTTGCGAAATATGAAAAATACCACAAGCTAAGTTTCTTTTCATATTTTCATATATAAAAAAATAAAAACGAGAATATTTCAAAATTGTGAAAAAATTCAACGGTGGTTAGATTATTCTTGCTTTTAAAATTAGACATAAAGTAATTCTTCTTTTTCTAAAATTGGAAACGTTGCTCAGGAAATAAAAGTTACGAAATGGCTCTAATTCTAGCTTTAAACTAAACAAAAATCAACCTTAGATACACTTTTATATAATTGAAATAAATCCAAAAACAGTTCAAGGTTGAATTTTGTTTCCTTCCTAATTTTACATTTTGATACTGTCTTTTGTACAATAAAATACTATATGAAAATGTTTGAAAAATTGTTTTACGAATATACATTCAAAAATAGTATTACATATTTACTGCAATTTATTCTCAGTGTTTCAAGAACATTTAATAACGAATTCTTAATAACCATAGAAGATATAAATTCAACCAACGTTCTTGCATCTTACACAAATGTCTGTCATTTAGATAACAGTTTATTACAACGCAAAGTCTTTATTGCTTCGAGAACAATATATATGAAAATTTCCAATACTTTCTTCTAAAACTTTTTGCGAAAGAAATAAAAATATCTCTTTCTATAGCACCGAATGAAACGAATTCATTGCTGGCTTTACTGTCGATTTACGTGCTTCAGGAAGGAAACTAGAACTTAGAAGGGACATCAAATAACATCGTGATCAATGTCTTACTCGAGTTTGAGGAGCTCTTCGACTAGTTTCTCCTTGTCTTTGAAGCACCCCAGTGACGTCATACTCGATAGCACGTCCGGATCAATGGCATCTGCTGAGGGTATCACGTGCGTCTGAAAAAATACACAGCTTCTGTCACTTTAGTGCTACAAATGCAAGTAAAGAATAAACTTTTTCTGATGGAAAACAGCATACAAAAAACATTGCTTTCCTTGAAATCTAAGCATACTGAAGGAACTTAGTTCTTTTCTTTTTAAGTGTAAATATCAATATTAGGCACTATGTTTGGTTTGTAGAAATAATAACAATTTTAAATAAAGTTAATAAATCGTTATATGATATAAAATCCTATGTTTCTCGTATTTTAGGCATCCTGTTATACGATAAAATTTGTGTTTAATTCTGCATTAATATGTCCTAATTTTCTGCTATTGGTTGCAGAAATTAAAAAAAAAACTAATCTTCCAATTTAAAAGAATTAAAAGTGCTAACAAGGATTCCAAATAAAGTAATATTTTCAAATCAACGCAAAAATTTGTCTTTTCTAAAATTTAGCCTTTGAAATTGGCAAAAACTGAGCCTTTGATTGGTATAGATTTTACAAATTTTTGCAAAAACGTTTTGCTCTTGATGAAGAAAGATCTCTGTTTAACTGCTCTCGAAATTAATAGAGTTTTATTCAGAATCTACTGAAATTTAAAGTAGTTGCTTTTTGGCTTAGTTTTAATAGTAGATTGTTTCTATTCCAAATGTATTTATACTCTGACCACAAATCTTACCGATTACATCCTAGTAGATTACCACATATTCTGAAAGCTTTACATATCGCATCTTGTATTCTTAAAGTAACATAAAAAGTAAAATTTTTAGTAGAGAAAATTGTAAAGATATTGTTGCGTGCGTACGGGTTCGTAATAAATTGAATGCACAACTCCGATGAAAAGTGAATACAATTTATTCTTATCACAACGAATAAAACCAAAATGCTTAAATTTCCTCAGAGACATTAGTACTATATCGCAATATTTCGCAGTAGTTATATTTTAACTATTAAAACGTTGAATAGACCTCAATTAAAAACACGGATAAACGTAGACAAAGCTAATCCTATCTCGCCACAAATTCGCTACAGAAAACAACATATTTCTAAACAACTGAAATGAGATGCTTTCCTCCAGCTTTTATAAGCTTTTTAAAAGCACGAGAACATTTTAGTATTTTTTTTGATTTTTCAGCATAGCAAGAGTGCAATTAAGAGATATCTAGTTTTATTAAAATGTCAAATGCGCGTGCTCCTGTATTCTAGTTTTTCCGGTGTAGCTTTCTCTTCAAATAAGTCTCGTGGTACATTGCACAGGAATATAAAACAATTTTAATAACAAATTATACTAAAAATAGCTAAACAAATGCAAAACCCGTAACAATATATCCAGAATATTATAGTTCATTCATATAAAATTTATATTTGTTTAAAGAGAGAACAAATACAAATCGTAACTTCTCTATTAAAAAAAATTGATTTGAACACCAAGTGACTTCTTTGTACAGCCTATTAAATTATACACATTTTTCTGAAGAACTGCATTCAAACTTATTTCCTCGAATTATCATAATTTAAATAAGCGATCTTTCAAGGTAAGTTGAAAATGACATCAAAAATTGCAAAACTTCAAATTAAAAAGCCCGGTCAGTGTTTTTCGCACGGGAATCTAATTTCTTATAATTTTACTCTCAATTTAAGTTCCATTTTATGACTGCAGTGAATTTCGAAAATTTTTAAATGAACATGAGCTTTTAATATCAAAAGCATCATCGTTTTTATTGAAACAAAAATTTAAATCAAAGGTAAGAAACTGATTGAAAGACCATATATGATATAAAATCTATAAATATGTTTTACAATAAAGATTAAATCTGACTGAATATTAGAATTTGTATTGCGTGTAAAACTAAGAATATATTTTAGTCCTAAACACTTAAAACGAGGATAGCAGCTGATAACGCTGGCTAAGGAATTTTGGCTCTGAAATTTGCAATTTTCAAACATTTCAAATAAACCGCTTTATAGTTAATAATACTCAGGTTTTCATTATCTTCTAATTTTAATTCTTGATACATTAAATATTCTTTAAAAAGATAATAGTAGATAAGAACACCTGAATCAGTGTTCTCCACTATTTCTACTATAAATCTAAATTAAATTGTTCATGATATCAAATTTATATTCTAAAACTTCATGTTTCTAACTTTCATATAATCTCGAATTCTAATTTTATGTTGTAATAATGTTAAAGCATCAATTTAGTTTACGATATTAAGAAATCACGTCAAACGGTCACTTCGTGAAGACTGAAGTTTCAAGTTTCATCTGCGTGCTCAAAACATCCACACCGTCGTAATACTCAATGAGTGAAAGCAGTCTGACTACACTACACAGGGAGGTCATAGTTCAAATATTAGCCATAGCCTAGCTTTGTACAATATTTATGCGTTTCCTAAAGACAAAGAAGGTATTTACAATCTTCCTGCTTTTATTATGATCTTTGTTAAACTGATTCCTAAGACAAAGACAATAACATTCGGAAGTGCAGAAGTCATTGTAAAAGTACATTTAAATGCAGAAAACCTTTATGTAATTGCACCTAAGTGAATAGTAATGGCTTCAAATAGCATATACTTCACTATTGTTACTGGTGTAGCAAATAAAGGTTTACAAAGCTTCTGTCCAATATATTAGTAAATAAACTCCAGATACTAAGCTTACGAATAAGGTCTGACGTCTTTTTCAAACATGAGCATCAGACTTGTTTAATATTTGTGAACAAAATCTGTTCATCTCTCGTAATTGTAGTTTTCATACATTTCAACTCGCATTCTATAAAAATGGTTTTTGGACTTGGCCCATACGTATTATCAAGGAAGATAAATTTAAGGAAAAGAAACCATACCAATGCAGATTTTGATAGAATAGAATATTACGTTATGAACACAGATTTCTTTAAATACTGTGATACAGAAAGTAAACTTTCTTAGATAATTTATAGAAGACATAATTCAATAGATAAGAAGAGGTAAGAAAATAATTTTTGAAATTTAGTTTTATGTTGTTATAATCTTTAATTTTATACAGAAATTGTGATATGTAATATTGATATTCTAAAATACAGCTTTCTATCACAATTTTGCATTTCTAATATCTATCGAAAAGAGAGGTAAACTTGCATTTAAATCATACATTCCCATACAGATTATTACTAATAAGTTGTTAATTTATTTTCGCATTTTGATTCATTTTAGATTAAATTAGAAACAAAGCAATCTTAAAACTTCAAATCTATAGTATAGTTAAAAATTTACATAAATAAAATAAGTCATGAATTTGAAAAACATTGGTGCTAATAGTTCGAATTGTTGTCATATTTTTTGAAGAAGACTTGTTCAGCGAATTTAGAGACAAATCCAAAAATGAACAGATAGGAATGAATAAACAAATAAACAAATGAGTAAACTATCGATGATGATAAAGATATTTAAATGATAAAGACTATAAATACTGATAATAAAAGTCAATAATAGATTTCAAATGATAAATAGCAATGATGATGGGAATACTGAGAAACAATATTTATGCTGATATTCGAAAGATAAGCAGGTAACATTGTTAAAAGTATTTTTATAAATTCGCTGTGATCTTTTCAGAGACTATATCTAATTAAATATCGTGGTTATTCAACATTATTTAATTTTTTAAAATAAGCATACAGAATTTGAACAAACTATTATAAAGCTTTTTCAAACAAAGGTAATAACAGAATACATACCTGAACGACTTCTTTCATAGGTAGTTCTAATTCTAATTCGGTTTTACTCCCTCTGAAATAAAAATTGAAATTAAATTATATACCGGAATTAATCAAAATAACAATCGATTTTGCTCTTTTAAGGATATTTTATTTTTAAATGTTTAAAACATTTTATCGTTAGCTTGTTTATACTCTGTGTTTTCGTGAATACCAGCTGAGTTTTTAAAGTCTCATCTCATCATTCTTGCATTGACATTGTTTTGTAAACGTTACATTATCATGGTAATAGGGGAAATTATTGCAGCAATAACCTTTGTCAATTTATTGCTGTAAACTGAAAGCAAAGTATTGTTACAATTATATAATAGAGAGAGCAAAGTGTTGTTAAAATAACGATATCTAGCACACGCTAATATGTTCCTTCTGATCAAATGCATGGAACATTCCGCACTGTGAAAAACAATCTGCTATAATGCCTGTTATAATGAATTACATAGTAGCTTATCACATTCGAAGACCATCGTATTTGCTAACCTATTTAGTAAACACTAAGTAATGATAATGATTTTAAGGATTCATTTATCAGTAGAACAAATGATAAAATATGATATGACATTTATAGAAAAGTCTTACAATGTTCTATTATTTAATTGAAGATAACTTTAAACCATTCTATTCTATGGTCGCGTTTCTATGCCTGACTATTTGCTTGGGTGCAAGTGCTTGACAACTAAAACTCAAATGGTTTAGCTCTCGATTCTGATTGGATGAGATGGTGGCTTGATTTCCAGAAGAAATTCTCAGGTTTTTAAATACTGTTACTAGTCTGGAGAAAGCTATTTTTTGTGATTTCATGACTGTTTCTCTCCCTCAATCTTACATCTAAAACTCGAACTGTTGAGGTTTACAAATGTTTTCGCTTCATAATGTAGATTTCATATACAACTGGAGCAGATGAAACCTATAAGATTCTAATTCAGATTCTAATATAAAAGCAAAATAATATCTTGTTGACGTTACCACACTGATAGTCAACAAGCTATTCCTTGCCACCCAAGATAATTTTAACGAGCGTTCGCGAAGAATTATAAGCACTTGTATTATTATCGATTTACTGGTTTGAAGCGTAAATTTTCTCCTTGCTTTCCGCATGCCATAATGGTGTAATTGGAAGCATACTCGACGCGTATTCGAGAGGTCCAGGATTCGAGTGCATTACACATTTTTCACGTCTCCTGCTTCAAAATAACCTGATGACTGCCCTGATGAGGCAAGTTCTGATTTTGGGCATATTTCATGCTAAATGCTTTCGCTGATAGATCTTTGATGTCTGTTTTTGTCTGTGATGTAGTTGTATGCGTCATTTTCAAGTCATGCTTTTGTAGCAGGCCAATGATAGTCAGTAGTTTGAATGTGCTGTAGGTTCAAAACTGTGGTTTTTGAAATATGCTTTGAAAACTATGTGTATTATTATGCTGAAATTTTGGAGAACCTTTAAAAATGTTAGCATATTCATCCAAAAACTGTATCGTGAATCCACAAAGGCACTGATTTGCAAGTATATTGAAATTTAGAGATTCTTGAGTTAAAGTATATTCTTTTTGGCACTGGGAGTTTCTTGAAACAGGGCACATTCTTTTAAAATGTAACATGTTTTTGTTGATATCCTGTTGAAGTTCAAGACTATTCGTTTCTTGTTAAGGTTATCGAATATTCTTTGTTCCACTTAAATGAAAGCGATCTGTCTGTTACAATATAATCGTTTCATCATTTATCAAACATAAGAATGTTACATGATCCTCCCGATATAGTACATGATATAAAAAATCTGCTCGAAATATGTAAATTTTTTAGCAGTATAGTATATGTCTTTCCGATTACACTATCATATACTATTTGTAACCTGTTTCGTCTATTCTGCATATATTTGCATTCATTATAGGTTACTTTACCAGGAAGCACAAATCATTAATAAAATTTATGCCTCATCTATTCAACCTACCTTATCTATACTGACAGTCTCTGATGGCGCACCATATTAAACTTTAAAAGAGCTCCTTTAGATGAACGTTAACATCTGAACCTTTTCAAAGGTCTTCAACTAATTGTTTGTATTAAGCATTATCTAATTCACTATGCAATTACTGTAATTATTCTTACATTCACTCAAGTAGACTGAAGATAACACATCTAATATCAAACAATGAATGGCAATAAATATAAGTAACTTATTAATTAGTGTTTAGTGTGAGCATTGAAGATAAAAATGATTTTTAATGAAATGGTAATAAATACATTATCTAAAGACAGAGACGTTTAAAGTTTTCATTTTGTCAAATAACTTTATTCTTTAACGATTAAGGATAAAACAAGTTCCTGATGAATATGAACAAGTTCCGTTGCTGATGATTATGGAATATTCAGTCATTGCACCTTTATCTCTTTATATCATCAAAACTTCTCGGTTTTGGTTTCCGCCGAATAAATTTAAATTTGATTTAATTTAAATATAGGTTACTTTAATAAAGGAATTAAAATAACTCTTCGGACTTTCTGCTATATTACAACCCAAAATATTTTTGGGGACATTGGTAACATTACTCACAAATGCTTGCTTTAGCCAATGAGCCAAATCATTATCTTCGTATTTTCCTTTTAATGAGCAAGATAAAAGGGGTTATGTACATAGTAACTAAATTTGCTTTCATGTACTTAAAAATTTAAACATGAATGGAGAAATACTTAAATTTTATCATTTTTATTAAAATATCCTGAAGAAAATTTACAATCTGTAAAGTTAACTACACTAATTTAATTATTAATGAAGTTAATTACATTAATTTAATTGCATTATACTTACGCAGTGACCCAGGGGTGTTTTGTCACATCAGCTAACTGCAAAATAAAAAAAGAAACGAAAATTTATTTTCAATATGTATACGTATATTAAAACTCTGAATTAATATACTGCATGGCAGAAAGTAATTTATTAAACAAGTTTTATATTAGTGAGAAATTTGTCAATCATAAGTTAAGTTGATATTTAAAAATATTTTATCTGAATGAAATGGGATTTCTTTTATCTTCCCTTCCTCCGGCTGTTTTATGTTAATTTTAATTTTAATTAATGAAATTCATTAAGGTCTTTCTAAAAATTCAAATTTTTAGTTCGCGAGAGTTTGCGATAATATGCACGGCGAGTTTGCACGGCGGGTTATTTTCTGGTATATTTTATTCTAATGCAGATTTAATCATTCATTTATTTCTGCAGATATTGAGGTTGTTGAACACGAGTTTAAATAGTTCGAATAAACGGTGCAGGGCATATTCAGATTTTTTACAAGCTTCAATGATTTTTCTACATTCTGTCTTTAAATTTTGATTCATATATTATGATACATAATTTTTACAACCACATATTTAATCGAAAATGAGAAGAAAACTCCACAACTTTATGACACTAAACGTTTTCCCCATACCCTTTTTTATAATCTCTGTAGAAGAGGAAATTATATCTGTGGGAAAGAAAAAATTCCAGACGAACATAATGTGGAGGATTTCTTTCTAAAATTTCAAACCCAGAAAAAGACAGAAACAAAGTTTAAAATAAATTAATATAATTTTTTAGATTAAGTACCATGACACTTACATAGTCTTAAATATACTTAAGCTGTTAAATACATTTAAAATAATTTCAGTCTAATCGTCCCGGCAACGTATGTAACGACTAAATTATTAACAAAAGAAATACCGAATTTAGTGGTGTAGTCCCCTACCGTTTCCAACTAATTTTATCGCTTTAAACCTGCAAGAGGAAGAATATGTGGTATACTTTTATTTTTTAAGATACGGCTTAAATGATAAACATAGCACCTTAAAAAGACGCACATAAAGCTACACTATTATTATTACATTATGAATTTCAAGGTACTTATATATTTAAGTAATAGTCTTTTTACTTAAGACAGAATATATTATAGGCTGAATAAAACAGATGCTTGAAGAATTAGAAATAATTAAAAGCGACAGATTTAAATAAGTATAAAGCCTTAAAATATTAATTTCCCGATATAAGGAAATTTTTTGGATGAATTTAAGAGGTAATTAACAAAACCAAACTTTAACGACAGTGAAAATGCATAAGAATTGTGTCGTACAATACCGACTCATTACCACTTTTAATTCTCCAAATACCGCTATTTTTTAAATAAGAGAAAACAAAGTATTAAATTAATGAAATATCTAAATACGAGTAGTACAGTAATTGTGTTTGAAATAAAGGTGGGGGGGGGAGAATAATGAACCGAAACAACATAAGTGTAAGTGTGTTGAAACAAACAGGATGAGGTAGGGTATAGTTCTCTGGGTAAAATACAAGATATGCATCGATGTGTGACATATGCCACAATATCCTTCTGTTTATTCGCTATTGTTTTTTCGTTTCCTTTGCTTGTTTATTCACAATAGAGAGCTGAACGATGAACACCGCACTTTCTCAGGTGATAAAAAAATCAACATTTCTGTAATTCTATCTTCATATTCTTATGTTACTTTCCCACGATTGTCCGTCATCGGCAACGTCCTTTAAATTCAAACTTTCGACTAGATCTTCTCGTCTATTAATAGAATAAATCCAAGTTTATAAAAGATTCTTGCGGTAAACTTCTTTTTAAAATCTTCAGAACCCCTTGGTCCGTAGTTTGGAAGACTGCCATGACAATTGGACGTACAAACTTGACCTTTATTTCTCTACCTTGAAGTAGTTCTTCATTCGTGTCAGAAGGGACATTATTTAAAAGCAACACCTTATTTTGGCAAATTATTCTTGTTGAAAAATGTGTCAGTCTGGGAAAAAAAAAAAAATCATGAAAACACTATTCTTTTAAAATATCTGAAGTAATCCGAGCAGTTTTCTGGTTATAACATTTGATTGAAAGAGTATTTTTAAACATATTCGTAAGCACTCTTGGATTTTTTTTTAAATTTCTCTACCGCAGTAAGCCTTATTTTAAGATTTTTCTGCGGCATTACTGCATTCAAGGATAGTTACGTTCCTCGTAACCAGGTGGTCCAGCTTCAAATTGAACTACAAATCATTTTAAAAATATAATTTTACAATTTAACCCCGTCTCATTGCAATTAGATGGTTAGTTATTATTTAAACGTTCTTTGCTCTACAACTTACGACACGTATCTATGAAGCTATCCACCGTCTCATCATTTGCTGAAAGGTTTCCGCCGCATGCAGTTAGCTGCAGTATACCATAGTCTTTCTTCCATTTATCGAACAACTCAACATTAGCTGTAAAGTTACGGCTACCTTCATTAATCTCCTTTCAGAATTTCAAAGCTTCTTCCTGTAAGATTGGTCAGATGTTGAGAAAACTTTATTTTTGTGTTTAAGGAATCAAAGAAACAAAGCTTCGTTAAATTTTTCGTACTCAAATATTTTCATTTTTTTTTTTTTTTTTTTTTTTTTTTTTTTGTCTACAGTGGTGTCAATAGCTACTTTTTGGAAAACTCCTTTTCTATCTTTCTCCTATTCCTTTTTCAAATGTTTTATACGTTATTATCCTGTGGCACTTTTAGTAACGTTTCACCTTTGCCCAATCTCTTCAAAGCTTTCATACTTTCTTTTATAGAAACAGGCACTGTTTTCCTCTTTGAAGCCATCACAACACGCCACAGAACAGAGATATAAATACAAGGAACAATACTATGCTTTATCACAGAAACAGAGAGCAAACAAAAAGTCATCGCATCAGCAAATCCCACTTGGTTTCCACGAACTGAGCAGGTGCAGACTGTTGACCGTAGTGTAGTGACTCACGTTAATATAATCTATGTCAACAATAAAGCACGAAACTGTTTACTTGTGTACGCTTAACAATTTGTAATTTTTTACGTATTTTGCTTTTTTTTTTTTTTTTTTTTGCCGACGAGGTCAAATTAAACGCAAGGTCAGATTAGCGAAGGTTGGATGACTTACAAGTTAAGGAACTTTAAAGCATATCGAAGTTGTCCTTTATGTATGCAAGTTTATTACGTATCTGTAGCCACATCACAGTCCCTACCCGAAGAGTTAGAATGTGCTATAACAGTAACCAATATTAGAACAAGCGTTACAACGTCCTTTACAGGCACATGTTCTTTCGGATATCTTCGATTACAGGTACCTGCCAATGCAATGGTACCGGAAAACTGCGAATAGAGGGAATCATAACATGCATCGTTCTTTTCAGAAAGAATTTGCTTCTATCTGCAACAAGATAGTTATCTGGCAATTTCAGGGTGAATTATTGAGTATACCTTGTACCTGCAATGCCATATACATGTCTGGTATATCGCTTTATGGTATGAACTACCACTAAGCTCCAGTTCATCTCGCGTCTGTTATGAATTTTTAATAAGTTCAAAACCACTGTTAAATCTCTTAGGAACTAATGTCTGTCGTCCTTTAACTTCAAAATCTACCAGAACCTGCTATCAACAAAACAATGCACAACCTCCATCGGCATGTGACCATCCAAATAACTTGTAGATAGTTGCAATGTTACACTCCTCGCGTTTATCCGATCTGTGACTGTTGACAATATGGTCCATTATCACACAATGAGTGCACTCCACAGAACCCACGCTGCTATCGCAGGATACATTTGGCAACATATCATCATCTATTTGCATAATAACTATGGTTCTAGTAGCCCTTTTCATTCTCAGTATTATACTTAATAGCTAGAAAGTGCATTATAACCTTTTTAAAATCTATGTGTTACAAGTTCACTTTATTGTAAAGCTTTTCAAGTATTAACTGAATCAGAAGTATTTCATATATGTCATATTTTATATCATAGAGTGAAGAGTTGCATTTTTAAATTCATGCATCTCAGTAATGTTACTAATACTCTTAAAAATTTCCCTAATTTACATTCAGTTTATAACATCCATGTCTTCAAAGCATGACGAAGTTTTTTCTAATTTTTGTTTTAAATTACTGTTCTGTGAATGTATATTTTACGTTTTCCATTTCCTCTTTTTATTACTTTGTTGAAACATAAAGTGATTAAATTCATGATATAGCCTCAGATGGTTTTACGTCATGCATAACTATATCGAAAACTATAATAAACACGAAATTAATCTAAAAGAACAAATATCAGTTACGTATTCTTACAGAGCGGATATTTTTTGAATTATTTATGAAGGTTTCTGATCACAGAGATTCTATTCTTAACGATAACGACGCATAAACTGAACAAGAAAAGTAAATTAAGCACGTAGGATGGACGTTAAAATTGCATGGACGCTTTTAGGAAATGATGGGCGTTATCAGAAAATGTTGGCGGACAAGGAATGCACTGCAATTCTGCTCTTGTTTATCAGTCATTAGAAAGCACTATTTATTTAAAATGAAATAAGAAATTTGCGTTGTATATAGAGAAAAAAATAATAATTTATTCATTTTCTGAAATTCATTAATTATAAAAATTTGAAATCTACTGTTATGGAAATGCAACTGATTTTGCTATAAGAAATACCAAACGCATTTTCAGGAAGAATTTATGTTTTAGATAAAAGTATCAGTAGGAAGGATTTATTTATACCAAAATTTAAATTTTGTAACAATCGGTTGCTTGAAGCGATCCTTGAGAAATCAAAGAGGGCACAGTCTGCGAGTAAATTTCCTACTTCTAATTCTGGCATGAGGCGTTTGAGGGAACACGTATAATGTAAATGAAAACCCAACTTATTGAGAGGTTATCCATCAAATGTATTTAGCATCGCAGTGATTCCTAAATTTTTAAATTTCAGAAACCTCAAATGCTATTATCTCTCACATGGCCCAGACTACTGATGGATTCACATTCTAATAGATGGATTCATTTTCTTATAAA